ATATAGAATAGTTCTTTTTGTTCTTTCTTTTCAAAGGACAAACTTACACTCCTTAATTACGTAAAAGCAAAATGGTGGAATATATGCACGAATAGTATTTGATATTGGTATGGCGAACTTTAGTAAAATTGATATATGTAAATTAATATATATATATATTTATTATGGAGGCGTTTCTGCTTCCTTGCAAGTAACTTATACAATATAGTGCATGTGTGTATATACACACTCACATCATCACCGTTACATAATAATCCTGTTCCGTGATTTATGTTCTATCGAACTAGAGACTTGTGTCCTGTCTCTCGTAGGAAGTTAAGTTTTAAGCCGATACCACTCAGAAATTAGATCAGTCTGTGTTCAGTCAGTGGGACCCGGTGCACGTTCGCAAACCAACGTAGTTTCTTCGCGATTGTTCTAATGCAAACATTTTTTCAATAGTTGCACCTAGTTACGATCACAAATAGTATTCTTCGGTCATTACAATTAGATGGAAAACAATATTTAAAGATGAGGTAAAACGTCAAAAATTTTATATTAACAATATTGCAAAATTATAATAGTGTTAAATGAAATATTTTTGTGAGCTTTTATTATTTTTTGTTTTTCAACAGAATATGTGATCATTAAATGAATTGCAGAAATTATGCCGATAGAAACAAATTTATTATTTCTGAGAATACATTGACGTTTATTATTTAATTAATCAGATTAACGAAGAATGGCACGGGTCAAATAAGTTTTCCATGTTACCTATCCTTGACATTTGACTACTAAGGTTTCTCGATATATTCCTAGTTCTAACGTGCATTTCCAAGTTATCGTTCTTGATCAGGGCTATCAAAGTTCTCGATGCATTCAATTAGATTCAATGAAAATCATTTGTCAATCTGTCTTTGTTCGCGTGATTGTCCGATAATTTTAACGTTTCACCTAAGGAAAAAAGATATCTTGTATCTTTCGATACTAAACCGTATAATGCAACATTTTGCTAACGAGATATATTTCGACATCTATTACAGAAGTGTGTTATGTTATAATTACATTAAATTTATTAATTACTTCAAGTAATTGTAATTAAACGAAAACACGTATATACAATGAGTCACAGGAGTATTCATATCCTTACTATCAATTTAAAACAATCAATATTTTTTTGTAATAAAATTTTGCAAAATTCGTATCTGTAAAAAAACATATTTTAAAATTATTAAACTTTAGAATTGATATAAATTTTTTTGTAAATAAACATTTTATTATAAGAGAAGTAAAATTGTACATAATTTATAAGAAAATTGGTCTCACAAAATATGTCAAATTGTCTCAAAAGTATTATAAAATGTAAAGGAGAGCCAACCAAGTATTAATAATAAAACATTGTTCTGCTATAAAATTGATATCAATTTGAAAGTTTAATAATCTTAAAATATATTTCTGTGTATAAGAATTTTGATACTTTGATTACAAATAATTCTTTCTCCTTTTCATTGAATTGTAATTTATTTTAATAAAATTATAATCACCACAGTAAGAAATACATACATCTTTGCGTAATATGTAAAATATTTAAATAGAGATTTCCATATTGTTGTAATTATATGCTAATTAATATTAATTTTTTCTTATTAATAAAACAAAAAGAAATATAAAACATTAAGAACAGAAATGATTAGAAACAATAGAACTTTGTGTAAAAAGTAACAATCCTATCTTGAATTGAAATGTCTTAACTATTCCTTTCTGTGAATAATAGATTGTTAAACTTCTCATTGTTTAGTATTGCAAAATTTCCAGGAAACATCATTTCACAAACAATACCTACGTGAGATTTATGCATATCGAATGAAAGAAAGTTACAATAGATCAATTCCAGAAACTAGTATATCCTTGGAAAATTGATAAAGACAAAGAGAGAGAAAGTATAATTACGAAGTCGGAAAAATCACTTTATGATTTTATTTTATAAATATTACGAGAAAAATTACATAGCAATAAAAATATAATTATATTCAATTGGAATTAGTTTCCTCACTTGATTAATGAAAACGTTATCTAATTTAATTAATTTCATTTAAATATCATATAACCAAAAGTATTCGTATATGCACATACCTTCCACTGGACCATGAAGTCTTGGTAGGGTGAATGAATGTCAAGTGAACGTAAACTTTACAAAAAGTATCTCGTACCTTCGCGTTAGGCTATTATTTAAATTCTTATAAGCTGTTCTTAACAGCTGTTCAGCACTCACAATTAAGCGTAAAAAAATCGTCTTAATATTAAATTGTTAAAAATTTCAATAAACCTTGGGATTATAATGAGAAAATAACTTAAATTTGTTTTACAAATATAGATACTACAGCATATATATATTTTATTATGCATAGCATTAACTATAATATGATATCATTTTATTTTAACTGATTAGAAAATACTTTTGTAGGTTCCTACTTCCATTGATTCTCCTGGTAGGATCATTCAATTATAACGTGAATGCTGAGACTTTGGAAACTTTAATGCAATGGTCGTTCATAGATTACCTTTTACCTTACGATCAGGGCTTTCATAATAACTATCGTCCAGAAAATGTCGTTCCCACAGGCATCGAAGTCTCTTGGCGAAGAATTTTTATCAGTACGCCACGCCTACGTGATGGCGTTCCAGCTACTTTAAGTTACATCCCGAGAAACATTCCACCAGGCAGCAGTCCAAAACTTCAAGCTTATCCTTCGTGGGAATGGCATACCGCGGGAAGAGGAGAATTAAATTGTTCTCAACTAATATCTGTTTATAGATCAAGACTCGACAATTGTAATAGATTATGGGTTATTGACAGTGGTGTCATGACGTCTATCGATAATTTTACTCCAGTTTGTCCACCTAAATTACTTGTCTTTGATCTCCATACAGATACACTCGTCAGACAATATGTTTTTCCTCGAGAGGTTGGTTTAAAAGCCTTTCATTTTAATAAAATAAATACATTAAATAAACAAACTTTAGACTTTTGATAATAAATATTACATTTTTTGAAGCGAAAATAGTCAAGTTTAGCTATATCTAGTTTAACCGTTTGAATCCCAAGCAGTGCGATCACGCTCTCAAAATTTTGTGTCGAAAAATCCCAGTAAATTTCGAATGCTATGACAAATGACGATACCATCACTGACTAATAATGCGTTAAACAAGCGCTATTGCGATGTACGAGCTTTTTTGACCGTGTGTTTTAAAAAGCCTCTGGAACTCAAACGGTTAAAACTAATTTGTATAGATTATCTAAACGGTAATCATTATTTTAAAAGTGATTGAACAGGATATTTAATTAGCTGTATAATATTTGCAGGTTTTAAGGCCAAACAGTTTGTTGACTAATCTTATAATAGACGATACTAAATCAACATCTTGCGATGATATATTTATCTACATAAGTGATACAGCTGGACCAGGTTGAGATTAACATTATTAACTTAAAAAAAAAAAAGAAAAAAAAAATGAATAAAATAACAATTGATATTAATTCTTAATGATTTATTTTAGGACTTCAAATTTTTGATGGTGCAAATAATACAAGTTGGCGAGTACTTCACGCTTCGATGTTTCCTAATCCAGATTATACTATTTATCAGGTTATTTGTATAAAAAATAAATGATCTAACAATGATTTTTTTAATCGATAATTCTATTTTAATAGATTGCCGACGAGACTTTCGAACTTCCAGATGGTATTGTGGGATTAGCTTTCTCTCCAAGGCAAGGTATACTATATTATCAACCACTCGCCACCGATCGTCTCTTCGGTGTACCAACGTCGGCACTTCAAGCTGGTCCACTTCCCTTCGGACAACAACTCCCAGTGTCCTTGATCGGCAAAAAGTCTAGTCAAGGTATTCCATTAGTCGTGGATCCTCTAGACGACTCGATTCTTTTCTCACCACTTACGGAAACAGCTATTGCCAGTTGGCAACCTCTAACGAATAATCAAAGGTACATTTGTCAATATCTTTTGATTGTTTTAACAACAATCTGATTTAATGTTTGAAATTACATTTTTCTAAATAATGTTACATCCTACTCGTTTAATCTTTCAAACAAACAAATATATTTTGTTCTTTTAGAATCGTCGTTTACAGTCCAGAAAAATTGCAATTTGTTGCTGAAATGAGATGGGTCGAACGTGACGACGGCCGAATCTGGATTATGTCCAGTAGATTCCATAAATTCTTCAATCGTAGAGCATCTTCTAAAGAGATCAATATTCGTATTATGAAAATCGTTCCGGAAACTGTTTTATCAAAAAGTCTACCGTTATATCAATATATCGATCCACGTTACTCGCATATTTTGTATAACAACTCAGTCGGTTTTTAGATAGATTTATAAAAACAATTTTTTAAAACTTGTAAATTATCATTTTAAAGATACTAGCGAGAATCATATTAGACCGAGATCCACTTCTATTATTAAAACAAAAATAGAGAATCATAAATTCTAATTTGCGAAGATTTTAGTATCAGTAGGCAGAATGTCATTTAAGTAATTCTTTTCTTTTTATACGTTTACAGAATCGTATATGATTCATTCGTAAAGAAAGTCGATTGATGTTAATGTGATTTGATAATGATAAATATCAAATCTCTTCGTAGATATATAATATTTAATAATAGGACGATTTTTGCTATAAATTTTACATAAGGCGTATGTTAAAGCTATTAAACTATATATGTATATATAAATATTTTTTTAAATATATTGGGTTGAAAAAAAAGTTTCTTCGTATTCTTCCAATAACTGACTTTAGTATCAAATAACTCTAGTAATATTAATTAGATCTGGTAATATTTGTGTGCGTTACAATAGAGTAATTAAAAAAAGAAACTTGTGATAATTGTTTATTAATTTAATCAAAAATTGTTGCGTCTCAAAAGTGAATGAAAGCCAAAAAGAAAATCAACTTCTACTTCAATAAATGGAAGAACGCGCAGAGCAGGTGGTTAACAAAATTTGTGATGTTTATGGTGATGATACAATATTAGTACATATATTAGTACAAAATCGGTTCAAGCGTTTTCAATCTGCAAACTTTTGATGTCAAGGATACACCTCTCTCTTGTTGACCAATCACTCACATTCTAGATTTTAATTTAAAGGAATTAGAAAAATTCGAAATTTCAAAACTTAACTGTGGATAAATATAGAATTTTTAGCTTGTATTAATTAAATGTAATATTATAAAATAAGAAAATTTATCGAAACTCATCCTCAAGTCAATAAGATAAGCATTCCAAGCTAACAGATTAAGTATAATATATAAAATCCGGTTTTACCACAATTCCAATAAAACAGATAGAAGTTTTAGGAAATTCCAAGGATAAAGCTTGCTTAGTATCCAAGGATACTTAAGCTTAGAATTTTTCCTCTGTTCGTTATATTTAAAAAAAAATTATTAATGTGAAATAAAATTAATAAAGTGACATTTTAATATAAAATATTAGGAAGTTTTTGTTTATTATAAAATATTAACAACATATTTTTTCAATCTCGATTTTAAGTATGATTAATAAGTTATACTGTTTCACATAACTCCTGTATAAATTCTAAGTTTTTATCTACACCTATTTTTTATATATTGTAATTAAAATAACAGAAAATATAATTTCCGAAAAAATCACATTCACAAAGTCTCGGTACGATATTCATATTAAAACTGTTATACTTACGTGAATTTTCTTTTGAAACTGTTTGAAGGCCGGATATTACTTTTTTATCGTATTGCTTATAAGTAAAAAAACATGATAGGTCATTAAACCGCAAAACCTTACGAAGCCGACCCATCGTAAGACTTTATAAGTGCGCAATGCTATGTTTTTATATTCGATCACGGTTATCAAAAAGTCAAACGTAAATATATTCTAAAGAATTCCCTTATGAAGTACGCAAAAACTAAAAATCAATTTTTTCGAAATTTTGAACTACTCCAGTTCTTTTAAATATCTATATATCTATATATATATATGAGATATATATCTTAGAAGTTTTTAAACATATGAATCATTATACTACAATTGCAGGAGATTGAAAAATAGATACAAAAAAATAAAGCTAAATATAAACAAAATTAGATCGTGATTTTTTAAAAATTTGTGTCCTTGTGTAATTTCGTATTTAACGTTTTTTACTAAAAAAAACATTTACTAGAAATATATTTTTATTTCACTATGTAAAAACCAAATAGAAAATGTGCAAGTAACTACAATCGGTTAATCTTGAATAAAAATCAAAGAGTTAGTTATAAGAAAACATCATGCGACTTTATATAATTTTATGATAATTTAAAAATCCTTATTATTGGCATATCGCCCATACGAATAATATTGATACGCCTGTGCGATAATGCCTAATTATACCTATTCGTATGTGCAATCAATCACTATATTTGACGTACACTTGAAGTTACAACAAAACAATAAATATTTGCATTTTAACGGATAAACAAATAAATTTTTGTATTTAAAGTAGCTATTAAAGTTATGTTATTGTCACGAATTTCTTGAAAATCAACTCCTACTACCATCACAGGTGTACAAGTTTTCTTTTTTATTCTTCGTTCGATCGTCAAACAAGATTATACTCTTCCTTTTTATGCAGAGAATTCGAATTCATTCGAATGCGAATACATTAACACGTGTCCTCTGTATTTATCAAATCATAAAGAAAATAAAAAAATCATTAATTAAATTTAATGAAATAAATGGAAGTAGTACAAATAAAAATCGAATGTTTCTTTCGCTGCGTATTTAAAAAGCCGATAAAAATTTGTCGTTATTTAAAAAAAATTCATAGAGCAGTGAGCTCGTGTGTAAATAAAAGATTCGGTCTTGACGTCAGGAAAATACAATATATAATCAAACATAATAATTCAAAGTATGAAGCATATATGAACATATTCATTCATATATAAGTTCATGGTATCGATCACTTATGTATTTTTCTGTATTTATATTATTCTTTATAATGATATTCGGAAATGAATAGTATAGAGGAAAACGATAACTATTCTTATTAATGAAAAATATTCAAAGATAAATGCTTAAAGGATGTCCACTAATAATACTATTGTAATTTTATTGTCGATAAGATATTGATTACGATAATAAAAAATACCTGAATAAACTTGTAGAAATATAAATGATATAAGAAAAGAATATGACTTTATTCGAAATACCTACGAAAAAAAAGAAAACGGATGTATTGATACATGTAAAAATTAAGGGACTACGGAAAGACATATATATATATTTTTGTAAATGTGAATTTAGAAATTATGATAATGAGCATTAATCGTAAATTTGATCGTGATATCATTCGTTCTAGAAAATCTCAACGCAAATTGTAAATGCGCCGCCACGAGGGTACTTTGATTAAAGTATATACTATATACAGGGTATTTCTAAAGTTGTTTTACTGAAAAAAGAAAAATAAAAGAAAAAATCTCAAGATTGATTTATTAATAAAATTATCAATATATTGTTAAATGATGAGCCCACAATGCCGCGCTAATTTAAATACTTGTCAATAAAATATTCTAATTTTTCAATTGGATAATGCAATTTTTGGGATACCCTGTATATCAAGAAATTATGTCATCTTAGAAGGACGTTCAATTGAATCGAAGATCTTGATTATTTCTTCACGTTGGAAAATATGTAAGTACCTACATATAGAAGAAAAAAAAAAAAAAAGAAATTAAAACTGAATAGATAATCTCTAACATGCTTTCGAAAGGATGAATTATTTTTCGAAAGATAAGATTATTCAATGATATTTAAATCGTGTTTGAATAATCGTTTGAACTTTTTACATAATGGCAATGACATCGACATTAACGATGGCAAATAAATCGATAAAATAATGTTGATTTCTTAGTGTGTGCATATAAATACAAAAAGGAGCACCGACCGGCATGAGAAATCACACTATCCTTCAGTCGGTCCTCGACCGTGATGTTGTCCGGATCGGTCGTTGAGTTTACCTTTTCTTTCTTGCTTTCTTTTCTTCTTTTTTCCTTCCTTCCTTCTTTTCTTATAGTTTAAGATACACAGAATCCTATGATTTCTTCAAAGAATTTCTAATTTTCCGTTAATTCAAATGAAATAAAACAATGATGTGACTATAAACGTACGTAGGAGTGGTGACGTCAATAAAATTTCTCTGGCTTTTCCATATTCGTAATAAGTTGTGTAATTACATTTAAAAAAAGAGTTAAACAAAGAAATAAAATTACAAAAGGAAAGAAATATTATCCCGAATAATAAGCCGTCAAAGTGAACAAATTATTTCGAATGACCGAAATTTCCATATAATTTTCATCGTTATTGACAAGTAAGTAAAGACTCTTATCCATTGTTTTTTTTAACTTTATATACAAAATAATATATTTTTGTTAACTTTTGTAACTGTCAGTAAGTGTGACCATTTATCAGGGACTATTTAATTGCTATAGACAACGTATTACAAAAGAAGGTTTTTAACTTAGAAACCTAAGAAAGTTTCTTTAACCATTATGAAATTTGTTAATTGTCTATGGTATAGTTCAATATCTATGGCAATAATGATTCAAATTAATGGATTATAAAATATGAATATTCATTATACATTTTTACGATATTTTTAATACAAATCGCACCTTTAAAAGTGACGAAACTATTGCTATAATTGCCGTTATTTTGAAGTCTCGATCAAAAATTTTCACATCTCATACAATCAAATATTACTTTATTATCCAAATAACAAAATTTATTTCTTCTAATTTCGTTTGTATTTTTCTTTATATTTCTTTTTTATGATTTCGGCTATAATTCAATGATAAGTAAGACGATAAAAAAAAAAAAGATAATGCTTATTAACATTAGTAACTTAGAAACAAAGATACTGTTATATCGTTTTTGGTATCTGAATTGTTTTAAGCAACTGTATAAATAACCTCATTTTATAAGCCTGCGATAATTATATACAAGTCTTAAAACTACGCATATATAGTTTCTTATATGGTTGACCTAATTGTCTATCAAGTAAATAAATATCTTTTTTTTTTACTGGGTATACATACAGCAATTGAAATAATTACGTTCCGTTATCTTTTGGAATTTCCTTAGTAAGGAAGTAAAGTATCGTGTAAACACAAGTTATATGTCAAGGTTCTAAGAGTTTATTAACATAAACATTAAATTTAAAGTCGTATTGTTCGTTAAATCTCTTATCTTTGTTAAATGAGTATTTTGAACAAAACCCTTCTCTCAATAAATTTTGTTAATCGTTGTGTTTGATGAATCAAGTATTCTTCCGTTGATAAACCTCAACATATTTTTCCTATATCTCCGTATTTTTCTTTTTTTTTTATTTTTATAATGTTTGCATATCATCTTATATCTAAAATCAATTCATCGTCAGAAAGTATGTATATATGCATAACTAGGGAAGGAGAAATAAAATAAAGAGAAGAAGGGGAGACATTCTTTAAAGTTACCGACTCGTACTGACTTATATATGTGCATACAACGTTTGCATGCGTAGTATCAAGAATTGACTAAATCATCTTTGAACATTTCACGACGTTGAATGTGAGCAGCATTTTAATATAATTGTAAGTTTATTTTATATGATATCATCGTTAACATCATCATCATCACCACTATCATCATTGCCATCGTTTTACGAAGATTTTTATCTCTTCTAATAATCAAATTTTATAAATTGTTCTCTTGTTTTTTTTATCTCGAAACATACGTGACCAATTACGCGATTAATTTTCTTAAACAGAAAACAACAAGGAAAAGATATATGTAAAATTAAACACAAGAGAATATATTTCATTGTAAATAATAATAATAAGGATTTTATAAATTGTATTGAAAACAAAAATCTATATTATCGATACAAGCGGACGAAGCTATTATCAATTGTATTATGACATTTAGTTGTCAGAATACCACTGCCTGTCTAGTATATATCGCTTATCAATATATTAAAATTAAACACACACTCTTCTAGTTTGTAAAGTACGTATATATTAAATAAATAACGATAGATAGAGCAATCAGTGATATAATATATAAAACTGACGTTTAATTACTTAACAATGAAGTTTAATAATAATAAAGAAAAATCGTGATAACGGAAAACAAAATGCTAAGTCTGAATAATAAAAGTTACTAACGGGTAATATTTTAAAAAATTGAAAAAAATTCAAGAAGAACTAAAATATATATATGAAAGTTTCGGATAAAAACATAAAAGTATAAGTAGCGTACTTTTATTGAATGTTGTTTATATGACTTTCCGAAAAGAATAAATTCTGTTTATTACGAATATTATTTTCGTTATACATATGTTACCTTTAAAAATTCATATAAACAATAATGAATAAAAGAACTTTCATAGAGGATAACGAGTCAATCTAACTGGAGATTTCGATGATGAAGGTATGTTGAATTTATTTCCCGTGATTATTGAACAAAAATCATTTTTTTTTATTAATTAACAATCATTTGAGGTATGTTGAACACTTTCAAGGTATATCGCATCATCAACACTCATCTTTTCATATACAAACGCATCTTGAAATAAGTATCAATAGACACATATCTCACTATAAACTAAAATCTTCTATAATATCGTTCAACTGTTGATCAATTATTGATTCTATTCTATTCTCTGTCTCTCTCCCTCTTGTTTCATGTCGTTTCATAAAATTTAATCGTTATTGTCTCTTAAGAAATTTCATTTTAAAAATAAAAAGTAAATTAGATGAGTATTCAAAGCCGAAAGCAAACGAAACTTTCGAAAGATTTCCGTTCAATAATAAAATAACGTCAAGCTTTTTTTAAAAATGAATGTAATTAAAACATGCACACATATATGACGAACTGGATATTTCGTTAATGCGTGATAATATTATTCATAGGATGGGTGATGAAAGAAAAATTACAATGAAATTTATTAAAAGTGAAGAATTTTACATGACATGATGTCAATTAAAAAGCATAAACGATTTCAATAATAATAAGAAAGATTTTGAAACGAAATTAATAAATTAACAAAGTAAGAGAGAATCAAGAGCAAGCAACCCATTTACAAATCGAGTCATGCGATTTCGATGTCGAGCAAAGAAAATAAAACGAATTAATATAAAATATAAATTTGTAAATTTTTATGAAATTTTTTTATTGTTTTCTTGTGTTTTTCTTTTGTTTTAGAACAACAACCAACAATGATCAGTTGGATACTCGGTCTTATCGCAGTGCTCAGTTATTCAGCGATATGTAACTGCGAGCTTAGCAATAAATTGAAAATCATCTATTCGTGGAAATCATTGGAGTTTGCATTTCCGAGCCAACGTGCGAGAGAGATAGCGATAAAACAGGGCACTTTCATACCAGGGGCACCAATACCTATAGATGTGGACTTTTATTACGGAGGTTCTAAAGAAATACATTTTATTAATTCGCATTTCACTGATTATAAATTTGATCTCTTTTTTCTTTCCTCTCCAAATAATAATAGCAAAAGAAATATAATAGAGACAAAGATAGAGAAATAAAAAAAGACAGAGAAAGTGATATTTATCTTGGAATTTCCAATGACAGTTTTTACACTCGATTTCATTGTCGTTTTTTCGAAAGTTTATTACTATTATTACTCTATTATTATTATTATTATTATTATTTTGATTAAAAGTATTATTATTTAAAGACACTCTCGCGCGTTGTTTTATATAACCAATAATTAAATAGAGTAACGGTAACACATATATACATAATTATAATTATAAAGTGAACGGTAATGATGAATTATGATCATAATGATTAAATAAGTGACCGTATTGTATAATATTATCAATATTATTATTTTTTACATTTTTTTTTTTTTTTGACATTTGGGATCTGTGTCAACATATGACAACGATTTATTAAAGATAAAGAAAAAGAGAAAGGAAATGTCATTGGAATATGAACGGTCAAGATAGTAATTCTCTTTCATTGGTGCGGAAGTTCTATTGTAATAACAAGGTGCGACGACCGAGTCGATGATCTCATTTAAAGCTAATTTCTTTCGCGGTGAAATTCATCGGTCATATCGAATTCGTGCTCGTGTCTTATTAATGCGCTTTCTCGTTGTTCGAAAAAAAAAATCAAAATTATTAATCGCGTACCAGGAACGTTAGCCAAAGTTTAAAGCTTTCGAATCATATTTAATATAATGTCCTACCTTTTTTTTTCAAGAGAAAATATTAATGTAAAGTGCATTTGTTTTTTTTTTTAATTTTTGTTATAAATAGTTGAAGCAAGCAGTTAGTAAAGTTATATGAATTATTGGAAGACAAAATCAATTATAATTCGGAAATAATATCGCATTAGGCGAATGATTATATAAACTTTTGTTTTTTATTTTAGTATACTAAAACCACCCCTGAAGTTATTCCTTCTTTTTTACCTGCACTTTTAAACATTGCATTATATATTATATACGTTTTATATCTAACATATACATTATACTCTATCTAATGTTTTTTTGTAATGATGAATAATTATATTATATTTTTATATATG